AAAAATTCTATCATGGGTTATAAAAAAAACAAAAAATTCGATCATGGATTACAAAAAAAAAAAAAAACATTCGATCATGGATTACAAAAAAATCGACCAAGTATTACAAAAAAATCTAATCATGGATTACAAAAAGAAAAAAAAAAAAAAAAAAAAAAAAACCGTAAACCGGACTCTCCGATTCCGTATAGTGAATCGGCGAGTCACTGTGCAGAATCGTCAGGTTCTCTCTAGAACCGGACGATTCCCGTTTTTTTCGCCGATTCGATCCGTCCATGGTGATTCCCAAGTCGAACCGGACGAGTTCGACTCGGCGTTTTTTTAAACATTGGTATTATTGTTGTGGTTTTATGACAGTTAATCATATATGTCTAGATGAGGTTAAATTTTGAACACCCTTTTAAAATGTTTAGTAACAAAATGAGTTTCTTTTATTAACTGCAGTTTGGTACTATATTTATTTGTGTCGTTTGCTATTTAACCTAATTATATTTTATTTAAATTTATAAATTTAATTTATTGTGCGATTTAGAAATAAAGAAGAATATCATTTGGCTTGAGTTATTGTGATTGAGTAATTTGAATAATGATAATAGTGTTTACTAATTGGTATGTTTATTTTTATAACTATAGTGTTGCATACAATCTTGACAATTATATATTTTAATTAATCAGTTATCATAATATTAATGAGAAATTATCTCTAACATACCTATATTTTAAGAAAATCAGAAAAAAAAACCCCAAACTTTGTAAAACTTTGCCTACAGTAGTCTATTAACCATAACCCATTATGACCTTTATGGTAATTAAAATACTGTTATAATTTGGTAATGTATTACGGTATTTTATTTTAAATACCGTAATAAAATAAAATGACATTACCGTAATTTGAGTACCATAATAGGTTTTTTTTTTTTTTTCTACGGTATTATTTTTATGGTAATGGTTTTAAAGGGTTATTACGACGATCGAAATGTTGTATTCCTTTCACATCGTATAACAACACGAAAAGCCCCATTCTTCTTTCCCATTCTTTCGTTACTGAGTTCATTGTGCTGTAAAACCCTAACCGTGACGGTTTTTTTATTACGTTGGGCTTGCTCTTTTCGAGGTGGGCTCTTGAATTTTTTGAATTCGGTTCTTTTTGCATAGAATTTTGATGCTTTCGAAATGGAAAACCATTTTCTCTCTCTAAAAATTTCTTGGGTATCTTCATATAGAAAAGGGGGTTCGAGATTTTGTTATTGTGCATAAAATGGCTGGTTCATGGCCAAGCTTTTCTTAAATTGTAGGAGGTTCTTCCTTTTTGTAGATTCTCTGCACATAGTAGCTTGGCCGAAAGGAAAATTCTTGGTATCTGAATTGTTCTTTCTCTCTCTAAATGCATTTTCATATAAGCCTTTGTTTT